CTCCTCCTCCTCCTCCTCCTCCTCCTCCTCCTCGCATCCCATCAGATCTGACGCTGCCAAGCACTTTCCACGTCGAAGCAAATCAGCACTGGAGCCCTTGACCTCATCCCCCTGCGCAAAATTTCGAACCGGATCGATCTGTGAGGGTCCCGGGGCCCGACATTCGGGCGAACGCACGCCCGTGGAGAAAGAAAACTGCAGCGCCAGGACCTCGGGGTCCCCCCCTGGGCTTGCCGCCGATCGTCGAGCCTGACCCAGTCGCCCTTCAGGGCCGCGATGCGCTTCGCGAGCCCTTGCAGGAACACCGTGGGCTCCTCCGGGGCGGACGGCCACCCGGCGGCCCAGGAGCCGGGCACCTCCCCGCGCAGGAGGTTGTGGCCCTCCGCCTGACCGGTGGCAGCGCATGGGAGCCTCCCCGTACCACCTTGCGCTGGCTCTTGCGAGCCGACGCGCGTCGACGCTAGATCGAGGCTACATCGGCGCTAGGTCGCGGCGCTTTCTCATCGATGGCCTCACGCGGGCGCACGCTGCCGCACGCCGAAGACGGCGTTGCGACGGCATGCGCGGCTGCTCTCTCATCGATGGCCTCACGCTAGCGCGCGCTGCTGCACTCTGAGGGCGGAGCTGCGAGGGCACACGAGGCTCACATGGTTTGCTGCCGAACGCCTGGATGTCGGCGGTGCTGACTATCGTGCCGCTGATAGCCTTCTGAAGCAGGCTCAGCGAGGTGGACACCTGCAGAAACATTACAAACAAACATAGGCGTGTGGAGGGTTCCGTACACCCTGAACCCAAGCGCCTTGCCACCTCTTCGGAGGTCGATGTTGACTTCCGCCGGAGGAGGCGGCCCCGTTTTACTTCCGCCGCCTTCCGCCAGGGAAGAGATGCCAACTCCTTCGACCCTCCAAAGCGAGGCCTTCTCAGAAACGCCTCATATAGACACACGCTTTCGAAAGCCCGCGCGGATTCCCTGGATCGGCGCTGGGTCTCCCTGGCCTGGCGGCGCATCCGGCGCCGCCGCTGGCGCTCTCTGCGCCAAGGAGGGGGTGGGTCCAGCGCAGATCCGAATCAATCCGCGCGGAGGGCCTTCTGGAGCAGGCTCAGCGAAGAGGCCAGCTTTCAGGAGCGGCCAGCTCAGATCTCTGGCGAGATATGGCAATTCAATTCCGGCGTCTTCCTTCGATTTCGGCATCCAGGGGCTGTTTCGGGCACCACGATCATCCACAATGAGAAGAAGGAAAAAACACATTCACATAAACTGTTGTCGCTCCGCGCGGATTCCTGGGATCCGCGCCAGAGCCCCCTCGCGCGCGGAGCGCGCCAGGGGCGGCGCCAGAGGCGCCGCCCGGGGGGGCCCAGCGCGGATCCAAGAGATCCGCGCGGAGCGCCAAAAGTTTAGGTTTATGCGGTTTTTCCTTCTTCGAACAATGGACCCGGGACGAGAAACCGATCCCCAGGGAAGGGGTCGAGACCGCTGGGGCTCGGCGAGGTGAGAACCTGCCCACTGCCGCTGGCCAGGCCCATCCTGGGCCAAGAAGCGGTGCATGACGCCACCCTCCTCCTCCTCCTCCTCCCTCTCCTCCTCCTCCTCCCTTCTCCTCCTCCTCCTCCTCCTCCTCCTCTCTCCTCCTCCTCCTCCTCCCCCTCCTCCCTCCTCCTCCTCCTCCCTCCTCCTCCTCCTCCTCCTCCTCCTCCTCCTCCTCCTCCTCCTCATCCTCCTCCTCCTCCTCCTCCTCCTCCCTCCTCCTCCTCCTCCTCCTCCTCCTCCTCCTCCTCCTCCCCTCCTCCTCCTCCTTCTGGGCTTCGCCAGGGAAGCACACCTGCACCGACCCCAAAGGCCCCGGGAGGGCCCCAGCCAGGAGCAGTGGCCATGCCCAGGCCGAGAGCGCCCGAAAATCCACACGCCCTCGCGGTCGGGGCTCCGGGGCGCGACCCCGCAGAGTGGCGGTCGCGTGGATACGCTCCGCGCGCGGCGTCCTCGGCGGCGCGCACACAGGGGGGGAGAGGGAGAGGGGAAGGCTTCTCAGAGCAGGGAGGTTGCTTCTTAGAGCAGGAGGTTGCTTCTCAGAGCAGGAGGTTGCTTCTTAGAGCAGGAGGTTGCTTCTTAGAGCAGGGGGAGAGGGAGAGGGGACGGCTTCTCAGAGCAGGGAGGTTGTTTCTCAGAAGGCGCCGGCCCCACATCTACAGTGAGAAGGCCCGCGCCTTCTGAGAAGCGGGGGGGTGCTTCTGAGAAGCCTCCCCCCCTCCCCCTACCCCTCCTCTGCGCGCGGCCGACATCCGCCACAGAGCACCCCGTATCCAGGGGGTCGCGGCCCGGGGAGCCCGCCCGCGAGGTCGCGGATGTGAATGCAGTCATCGGCCTGACCTAAGGAACGATCAATGAGGAACGACGCCCCTTTCTTCCAAGGAATAACGCATAAGGAGCGATCAATAGTAAATAACGCAGAAGGAGCGATAAATAACGCATGCAAGCCTAAGGAACGACCGAGCCCCTTTTGAAAAGTAAGTGTTCCTTATTCGAGTCGCTCACTGTATGCTTCCCGCCCGCGAACCTTGTCGCCCAGCCTCGTGGCCTCTGCTGCCTCCATCAGGACAAACGCAACCACCGGCGGGTCTTCTGGCGCCACCGCGCGCACGTCCACCGCCTTCAGCTTGGCGAGCTGGTTGCTGCTGACGGCGTCCCAGAGGGTCCACAGCGGGCTCAGCTGCGGCTTCCAGGCCTTGATGTCCACATTCCCCTTGCTGGAGTCACCGCCGCCAGCGCTGCCCGAAGACGCGAGCTGACGGAGCATCTGGATGACCTTCTGCGAGTTGATCCGCTGCAGGGACCTGTCGGCATTGGGCGCCATCCCGAAGGAGGCGGGGTTGTCCAAGTCTGGCATCTGGTCCACCTTCAGGCGGAAGTCCGGCATGCTGGTGGACAGCGGGACGTCAAAGGGCGGGATGTCCAAGCTCCCGGCCTTCCTCCGCGGAACGTCCAGGATGTCGCTCCGGAAGAACAGGTTGAGGTACTCTCGGACGAGTCGGGAGTCGAACTCGTTGTCGACGCGGCTGCCGTACACGGCCTGCTCCAGCACGCCGATGAGCGTCTGCCAGTCGATGGAGCTCTGCCCGCCCGCGGCCTGCTTGCTCGCGATGTTCACCAGCAGCGAGACGGTCTCGCACGCGCTCTGCAGGTCGCTCTGGGAGAACTCGTAGAACTTGCTCCAGCCCTGCGGGATGTACGTGCGCCTCTCCTAACCAGCCTCGAACCTATCCCTATCCCTAAGATTGACAAGCCCAAAGTCGACGACAATCTCAGGGATGCGCCCTCAGAAACGGAGGAAATCCCTAAGATCGGCATCGAGATGAGGCGATGCCAATCATAGAGATAGGGATACGTTCCAGGCTGGTGATCTCCTGCAGGATCGCGTGGAAGTGCGCGGCCACGAAGAAGACCTGCGAGCGGAGCTGGCTGCCGTTCGCGAACCACTGCTGGCTCCACGACTCGAGCGTCCGGAGCAGGTTCTTCTTGACCCCAGGGGGCGCCTCGTAGGTGACCTTCAGGGACGTCTCGAGCAGGATGGGCGGGAACTTCGCGTGCGGCTCGGTGGTGAGCCAGCAGCGGAACTGCGGATGCGGCTCCAGGCTCTTGATCTCCTTCTCGAGCAGGGGCACCCAGCTGATGACCAGGTGCAGGTTCTTGAGGCACACCCAGTCCCCACTGCGCGCTGCGTCCCGGATCAGCCTGAGTGCGTCGTCGTTCTGGCCGCCGCCCATCGCCATCTGATGGAAGTTCATGCTCGGAGCGTTTTTTTCGGCGTACTCCTTGGCGAACTCCTCCAGCTCTTGGCACGGGTCTGCGCCAGGCGTCGTGACGAAGAGAATCGGGATGGTGTTGCTCGTGTCGTCCTGGTGCAGCTTCTGTAAACTCAGCGGCGGGGGCGACAGTGTAGTCACACTCATCTTCTCGCACACGAACTGCGTGAGGGTAGACTCGAGGCGGTCCGGACGCACGGCCTGCGTGAGGAGCACCCTCTGGAACGCCGACATCCGGGAGAAGACAGAGCCGTCGAAGGCTTCCTCGCACTTGTCCGACGTGGCCCAGGATGCCCAGAGATTGTCCTTCGTGAGGAACCAAGCGTTGTCCGCGGTCGGGAAGGCGGCGCGAAGAAGCTGCAGCGCAGGTGCTCTGTCTGGAGGGCACCACGTTGGAGCTGGCGCTGAACAGGTGTTCGGTGGAATGTAGGTGCCCTGGAAGAACTCCCACTCGTTGGGCTCGAACGCTTCTGGCATGATCCCGCGCACCAAGTACATGCCAAACGTAAGCCGGTCGGACTTGAAGAGCGCCCGAGACACGTAGAACAAGACCATAACCTTCAGCTGGTTGCCCAACTGCCGCAGTTTCTCCTCGACGCTGTCGGTAGAGATCGATATCCTCAACACCCTGTTGAAGAGTGTCATGAACGACTCCAGGGAGAAACGGTACATGTGATCCATATGATTGAGCTCGCGCACCAGGATGAAGATCTTGGAGCCCAGAGTGGCCAGGCCGCGGTACATCTCCCGCTGCTGGTTCAGGTCGACCTGCAGCCTGGTTGACTCGGCCAGCGCCTCGGAGATGGTGATCGCCTTCTCCTTGGCGCCGTCCAGGGACTGCAGCAGGGGCTGGTTCTCGAGGATGTCCCCGCTGGCGTCCGCCAGCGACTCGAGCAGCTGCTTCTCGAGCTCCGACAGCTCCACCTTCAGGCCCTCCTCCTTCTGGAGCAGCTCGGACTTCCGGTGCTCCAGCTCCGGCTTCTCGTGCTGCAGCGTCGCCCCCAGCAGCTGGCCCTCCAGGCCCGCCCGCGTCACGGTGAAGTTGATGCGGGTCACCAGGCAGGAGGCGTTGGGCGGGAGCTGGTCGATGGCGCTCGAGTTCCTGGTGCACAGGTAGAGCCGGAAGCCCTCGTTGAAGTCGACCGTCTTCTCGCCGATCTGCACGACCTGGCGAGGCCCCTGCCGCACGAGGTCCTTCCGGAGCAGCGGGAAGAGGTAGTTCTCGATGCCGTCGACCTCCTGGACGATGATGGTCTTGCCGAACCGCACGGCCAGCTCCAGCTGGGCCACCACCTTGGCGTCCTGCTGCAGCACCGTCTCGCTCGTGCCCGTGTGCTGCTTCAGCCAGTCGATGACCTGGCTGTTCGGGTCCACGATGAAGGGCACCAGGCGGAGGCGTCGGAGGCGGAGGAGGCGGAGGAGGAGGAGGAGGAGGAGGCGGAGGAGGAGGAGGAGGAGGAGGAGGAGGGGGAGGAGGAGGAGGAGGAGGGGGAGGAGGAGGAGGAGACGAGGAGGAGGAGGAGGAGGAGGAGGAGGAGGAGGAGGCGGAGTCGATGAAGGGCACCATCTCGCCGAACTTGATCATCACGCTGTTCTCCTGCGAGAGCCGGTCCGACGACAGGCCCTGCGCCTTCCACGTCAGCAGCTCGCTCTCGCTGGACATCACCCGGAGCAGGTCGAAGCCTTCGATGCGGGCCTGCTCGATCCAGCTGGCATTCGCCTGCTGGCGGATGTCCTCCGAGACGTGGCCCAGATACGTGCAGTACGCCGCCGAGAGGCACGCGTTCGTGGAGAGGAGCTCGGCGTCCTGCTTGATCTCCTGCACCTGAAGACGAGAGGCCATGGCTGAGACGAGATCGGACCAGGACAGATTGAGGATCTCTGAAATCTGGCGGTTCTGGAGAATGTATCGGGCGCGGTGGCTATTCCAGAGCGCTCCAGCACGCTCTCAGAGGAGAAGCACGAGCAGGAGCAGGAGCAGGAGGAGGAGGAGCAGGAGGAGAAGGAGGAGGAGGAGGAGGAGGAGCGAGGAGGGGGAGGAGGAGGAGGAGGAGGAGGAGGAGGAAGAAGAGGAGGAGGAGGAGAAAGAGGAGGAGGAGGAGGAGGAGAAGGAGGAGGAGGAGGGGGAAGAGGACGAGGAGGAGGAGGAGGAGGAGACGGAGGAGGAGGAAAATGATGATGATGATGAGGAGGAGCGAGGAAGAGGAGCGAGGAGGAAGAGGATGATGATGATGCTGCTGCGGCTGCTGCTGTTGATGATGATGATGATGATGATGATGCTGATGCTGATGAGCATGATCATGACGATTATGATGATGCTCATGATGACTTTGACGACTCTGATGACGACGACGATGATGATGCTGACGATGATGATGCTGATGATGATGATAATATGATGATGCTGATGATGATGATGATGATGACGGTGGTAATGATGATGGTGATGGTGCTGCTGATGGATGATGGGTCTGCTGATGATGCTCATGGTGATGGTTATGATCATGTTGATGCTGAGGATGATGCTGCTGATGAACATGATCATGATGATGATATGGTGATGATGATAGTGATGGTGATGGTGATGATGATGATGATGATGATGATGATGATTATGATGATGATGCTGACGCCGTCGATGATGATGGTGATGATGACGCTGATGATGATGATGATGATCATGATGATGATGATGATGATGATGATGATGATGATGATGTTGATGGTGATGATGATGAGTATGAGTATGAGTAGGAGTTTGAGTATGGGTATGAATATGAGTATCAGTATGATGATGATGCTGATGCTGATGCTGATGCTGATGCTGATGACGATGACGACGACGACGACGACGATGATGATGATGATGATGCTGATGCTGATGCTGATGCTGATGCTGATGCTGATGCTGATGATGGTGATGATGATGATGATGATGATGATGATGATGATGATGATGATGTGATGATGATGATGATGATGATGAGGGGGGAGGAGGAGGAGGAGGAGGAGGAGAGGAGGAGGAGGAGGAGGAGGAGGAGGACGAGGAGGAAGAGGAGGAGGAGGAGGAGGAGCAAGGAGGAGGAGCAAGGAGGAGGAAGAGGAGGAGGAGGAGGAGGAGGAGGAGGAGGAGGAGCAGCAGCAGCCGTAGCAATTTTGGCTCGAGCCATTTTGGCTCAAGCCATTTGGCTCAATGGAGGAGGCTCCTCCCAGGTAGCGGCACATCCCCGATACTGAGCGCTTTGGCTTCGTAGTGTTCTTCCACGCTGTTCATATCCATCTGAAGAAGGCTCACTGGATTCATGTGCGTGTGGAAAGAAGCGCAGCACGGCCGTTTCAGCTGCAGCTCGAGGGGCAGCTCGAGCTGCAGTGATCGCGGCAAAAGACACCGATGATGGCCGTGGAGGCAGCAGTGGCAACACACATATTCAGCTTCTGGATGAGGTTCTGGTGGCGGCTCAGCGAGAGTTGACACTACCCAGCAAACCGACGATCACGAAGCTCAAGAAGGAGCTTCGCAGCAGAGGCGGAAAGAACTTGGCATCGAGGCTTAGCAACCTTACGAAGATGAGAAATGCAGAAGGTCATGTTGATTTCAGTATCGTAGAAGACACTCGTCATTTCTAATCGGAAAGCTCAGAATCAGAGAAGCGTGTGGATGAGCAGGTGAAGCTGCCAGCCAAGGCGTACGAGCAGCTGCTCACTGTCAAGATTCAGTCCATTCATGATACCTTGGCCGCCCAGGCCAGCGAGATTGAAACTTCAAAGGAGATCCTCCTTCAGCAGATGACTAAACACACCGAGTCCGCCGCTGGGGAGGGTGCACAGGTCATGTTCTCGGAGACGGCGCGTACTCATGTGCATGCCAATGTTGGAGAGTTTCGGAGTGGCGCCAGTAGGGCCGGTGACAAAACCGAGGCTGGGAGCGCCCCCGAAGTCTTCGACATGGCGTCCGAGGACTCAGACGACGGCGTCGGCATCGTGGCAGAAAAGTGTGACACCATCAGACGAGATCTGGAGATGCTCGATTGGGCACCGTTGTTCGTGGAAATCAAGGCCAAGCAAGGCCAGCAGCACTTCCAAACCACCTCTGACATTGACGAGACAGGGGTCTTGTTCATGAATGTGTCAAGTACGCCTAAGCACAAAGATGTGCTCAGTCAAGCACACCTCCAGTTCGCCCGCTGCTCGAACCTAACAGGGACTGTCTCATACTTTGCGATCAGCTCGCCAGAGATAGGTAAAGGCAAAGCCATGTGGTATCTGTGTGATGAGCGTGTAGCAGGTCCAAGCGAACACACCATTGCGAAGGCCCACGGTGTGCCTCCATGAATTCACAAGCAGCCAGGCGAGTAACAGCTACGGTGGCATGCATGGTAGCGCCGAAGGCTGGGCCACGGCGCAGACACGCCTCCCTGGAGCCCCACTCTCCTCCTCCTCCTCCTCCTCCTCCTCCTCCTCCTCCTCCTCCTCCTCCTCCTCCTCCTCCTCCTCCGCCTCCTCCTCCTCCTCCTCCTCCTCCTCCTCCTCCTCCTCCTCCTCCTCCCCCTCCTCCTCCTCCTCCTCCTCCTCCTCCTCCTCCTCCTCCTCCTCCTCCCCCTCCCCATCTGTCTCCCAGACCTGTCTTCTGGTACGGAATTCGTGCCGGCGTTGCGTTTTGGCCAGGCCCCGAAGCCCTTTGTCGTAACGGCGGCGGCCGTCGTGGCGGTCTCCCTCTTCGGCCCCCCCCAGCCCTTCCGCCTCGCCACCCTTTGCGAGTGCAGCTCCCGCTCCCTCGGCAGAGCGAGCTTCCTGTAGGGGGGGGGGCGGGTGCCTTCGAGTATCGCGCGTGATTGCGTGGCGCGTGTGCTGGGTTGCTGCGTGGTGCACTGGAGGAGGAGTACTGGCCATTGCTCGGACGTCCATTCCCTGCGTTTTTTTCATCGGTTTCGTGTGTGTGTGTGTGGCTTTTTCGCCAAATGATCAGGGATGCTCCTCGATGGTACTCGCCGAAGGAAACATGCACACGTCCGAGCGATGCCAAGAGTAGGAGGGTCCTCCCCGCGCCTATCCCAGCAGCCAGATCTCGAGGCCCAGCCTGGGGCCAGAGCTGCGCAGGCGAGCCCTCGAGGAGGGCGCCGCGCCGTGAAGCGCCCAAAGGGGGCGCCCAGTGATCGGAGAGGTGCACGTGACGAGATGGGAGGGGGAGGGGGGGGAGGAGGAGGAGGAGGAGGAGGAGGAGGAGGAGGAGGAGGAGGAGGAGGAGGAGGAGGAGGAGGAGGAGGAGGAGGAGGAGGAGGAGGAGGAAGAGGAGGAGGAGGAGGGGAGGAGGAGGAGGAGGGAGGAGGGAGGAGGAGGGGGGTCAGCATGCTCGGTCACCTCCTGCCGTCCCCTCCAGCGGCAGTGGCGCGGCCAGCTGTCGCAGCTGGAGCTAAAATGGGCCAGTTTCTTCTCTCACTTTTTTTTTTTCTCTCTCTCTCTCTCTCTTTCCCCCCTCTTGTTTTTTTTGTCTCTCTCTCTCTCTCTCTCTCCCTCTCTCCCTCCCTCGCTCTCCCCCGTTGTGCCTTGAGCGGTGTGCGGCTGAAGTAGCAGCAGTAGCTCCAGATCGGCGCTTCGGATTCTGCGCTGCGGGTGTGCGCAAGGAGTAGCAAGAAGGATCGAGGAGGAGCGAGGAGAAGCGAGAAGGAGGAGGAGGAGCGAGGAGGAGGAGGAGGAGGAGGAGGAGAACGAGGAGAAGGAGGAGGAGGAGGAGGAGCAGGAGCAGGAGGAGGAGGAGGGGGAGGAGGAGAAGCGAGCGAACCACAGAACGACGAAGCATCCGACAAACGCGACGGCGACTGTAAATGCGAGGGCGAGAGTGATGAATCACCAACGCTCAGGAGACACCCGACAATCTCGGCATCACATGAAAGAGGAGGATGGGGAGGATGAGAAGGAGCAGGAGAAGGAGGAGCAGGAGGAAGAGGAGGAGGAGGATGAAGAGGAGCGAGGAGGACGAGGAGGAAGAGAAGAGAAGGAGGAGGAGGAGGAGGAGGAGGAGGAGGAGGAGGAGGAGGGACAAGTGACAAAAGGGACAACCAAGGTCTAGCATCCGAGGACGGAAGCTAGCCGAGCAGACGAGAATGAGGCCGTGCCTCAGAGGGGTGGTGCAGGCAAGCCCCGCACACCCTTAAAAGCGCGCACGGATGCGCCGAGCCGCACCCAACACCCAGTCAGGCGCAGCACCGACGCTAGGCGACGGCCCTACGCTGGAGCGGGCGGTGGGCGCGGCTCGCGCCCAGCCAGCACCTCGTCCCTGAACCAATCCTGGCCCGAGGACGCAGCGCCAGAGCACGGGGCAAGAAGCTTCCGCCAGCTCGGCGCTTCAAGTAGACAGTGAGCCGCACAGCGGTGGCAGATCAAGTAGCGGCCAGACGCCTGCACAACATGACCCTCGTAGACGAAGGTACCTGGGGGCTCCATCGGGGCCTCAGCGGAGGACTCGAGCCTCAGAGCCTTGAGGGCATCCTGGACGGCGACACATCGCGCCCTGGGTAGGGCGCCCCCGCGCCGCCAGGCGCGCACAGCAGAGAGAAACAGGTGGAGGGGAGACGGGGCACATCTCGCACCAGGCTGCTCGAGCTTTCTCCTGCTCAAGGCCGTCCGCGCCGAGCAGTGACAACACGTGCACCTCGCCGCCTCAGAGACCCCCTCCACCAACTCCAAATCGTGAGAAAACAAGGCGGGTTTAGGGATGCCGTCCCCTCTCACCCGCACGGGCGCGGGCAGGTCTGGCGCTGCCGCAGCAGCTTGCTGCGCCGCCCGCGACGGGAAATCCAGAGTCTCATAGCAATCCTTGATATTTTC